CTTATTATTTGGAGGATTAGTCATTAAATATATATCTTTCTGCCAGTATTAAATCCTTTTTTTTATTTATGTTGGGTTTTTGGCTTTAATTGTGATGGCTTCGAGATTTTGTAAGCGTTTTTTGCATTTGTTTTTGTTTTTTTTGTAAATAATCTTGGCCTTGTTGAATAAGATTTATCTTATTTCGAAGGATTTGAATCTGTTATTAATGGTGATTTTATGGCACTGGTTTCAATAAGATGGTATGTAAGACGACGTGAGAGATTTGTCGTTGTGTGCCCGATGTATGTTTTTATGCGAAAGCAATCTCGAAATATATATATATATATATATATATATATATATATATATATATATATATATGTGTGTGTGTGTGTGTGTGTGTGTGTGTGTGTGTGTGTGTGTGTGAATTAGAGTTAATGAGATCCAAACAGTTTACCCCATACAGATGAACAATTTGTCCAGGGGAAAGTTTTTTCCTAGATTTATCAATGCAAATACATTTACTAAAATTCATTTTAGTAAATGTATTTTCATTGATAAGTCCAGGGAAAACCTTCTTTCCATGTATGGGTTAAATTGTTTGGATGTCATTAATTGTAATTCATCTACATGCTCTATAATAAAAATTATATTGAGCTCTATTTTGTGAATCAGTTTTGATATTTTATATTATTAGGATCTACTTGGATTACTTACCCACGGATTTTTTTACCTGTACATTATATATATATATATATATATATATATATATATATATGTATGTATGTATGTGTGTGTGTGTGTGCTTGTTTGTGTATATATATATATATATATATATATATATATATAGTCATCCACAGACAGAATGTTTCGCTGTGTCACAGCTCATCAGTGTGGCTATACGTCGGGTTGCCTATAGCTAGGATCGAAACCCAGCTGAATTGGCATCAGTCTGAAATTCTATGTCGATGCTGCTGGCGCAATGGCAGGGATGAAGGTGAATATAAGCATATTTATTTTTTGTTAGATAAGCACACAATGACCGAGAGAAGTCGATTCGCTTTACCGAAGAGTCTTGCATTATTAGCCGTAATACTCACTGTTTACAAACTCACACTTCCTCCCCAGAGAGCTCAACCGAAATAAATTTTTCAGGATCATATATATATATATATATATATATAATTATTTATTTAAAAATTATAACATAAATATGTTATAAAATCACTACAAAAATAGCCATTTTGTTTCAACACCTCCGGTGTCTTATCAAATGATGATGTTAAATGTAATTTCTTATCAAGTGATGATGTTCAATGTCATTTTACATTGAGCACCATCACTTGATTAGACATTGATGGGGTTGAAACAAAATGGCTATTTTTGTAGTGATTTTATAATATATTTATGTTATAATTTTTAAATAAATAATTATATCTGCTCTACTCTGTATTGAGCACTCTTTTAAGAATAGTAATTGTTGGTTATTGGAATTCATTCTGTATACACCAATTATATACTTGTATATATATATACATATATATATATATGTGTGTGTGTGTGTGTGTCTGTCTGTCTGTGTGTGTCTGTGCGTGTGCGCGTGTGTGTTGTCTCTTTTTTCTTTGTTTCTAATGAAAGTTTACTGTTTTTTTTATTATTTTTCTACGTTTTTTAGTGCATCATTTGCTGTTCTAATGTGCGTTCGTATTTCGATGTCACATTTTTCATTCTGGGTCAAAACAATTGCCAAATATTTCAACTTCTGTCCCTGATTGAAGCTAACATCTTCAATCCGCAGTTTGCATCTTCGGATTTTTAGCTTGCTGACAACCAAACACTCCATCTTCAACATTTTTTTTTTTTTAAATAAGGTCCTCAATTTTTATGTTCCTCCATTGTATCGCTGTATATTTCGTTTTCCGAAATCCGTGAACCGAGGTTTGATTTCAGCGATGGTTTTAAGGCTCTAAAATCGATAAACATAACAACCTAAGCATGAGAATCCCAAAACATGATACATTTATAGAGGGGAGGACATCATTTTGTTTGTTTTCCTGCAGATATAAATCAGTCAATGTAACAAACTGTCCGAATCGCTTCCTGCTTTTCTCTTTCCCGCTTACAAACATTGCTATTCTGCACATTGAGTGCAATCAATGACAAGAAGAGATAACGCCCCCCCCCTAGGATATTTATTCAGTTTCTGTACTCTGAAAAGCAAGAATGTTTTTATTGATTCTAAGACGAAAACATTAACCTACTGTCCCAAGTTTACTCCAAAGAGACACTAAATCTCAACTAACCAAAAGAGTGAATGACAAATCTAAATTCAATGTTTCTTCCTTTGACTTTGCAAATCCAGAAATAAGTCAAACCAACGTCTTTGTTTAGTTTATTTTATTTTACGGTATATCGACCTAAATGCCGATAAGATTTTTAAAATAGATTCGTATGATTAGAATATGTTTCTTTTGTAAGAAATCGGTTTGTAGGCGATCAAGTTTGATATAATGGAATATGCGAACACCTGTGTTCCCCCTCACTGGAATATGATTGCCTGGTGACCGTCATAAATACAGACGGACGTGTAAATACGAGAAAGTCAAAGAGCCTTAGTCTGAGAGTTAAGTCTATAACGACGCCCATTGGACTACGCCATTGATCTACACTTCTTTCCAGCGACTACGTCGCGTACCAGTCGATTACTGCTACCGTATTCTATTTGGTTATAGTAGCCAAAACCACTTAGCTACTTCGTTCAAATAGATCCCTTTCTGGGATATATCAATATATATATATATATATATATATATATATATATATATATATATATATATTATATATTCTTTTGTGTGTTATATTTTGTCTATGTGTAAGTATGTGTGTATATATGCATGTATGTATGCTTGCACACACACACACACACACACACACACATATATATATATATATATATATATATATATATATATATATATATGATATAATGGAATATGCATACACCTGTGTTCCTCCTCACTGGAATATGATTGGCTGGTGTCCGTCATAAATACCGACGGACGTGTAGGTACGAGAGTGTCAAAGAGCCTTAGTCTGAGAGCTAAGTCTATAACGACGCGCACTGGACTACGCCATCGATCTACACTTCTTACTTTTATTATTATTTATTTATTTTCTTATTTTAGGAAAATATGCATATATTTTATTATTTATTTATTGTTTTAATCGAAAAAACCAAATTTTCAATTAGAGCAAACGCTAATTTAAGGAGATTCAAACGTCGTAACAACTTAGATACATTTGAAGGGATCTGAATTCAAATGATGTGGGTAGGGGAAACCTCATCATTATACACAAACACGTAAATATATTCAGATATGAAGAAAAATATACTGAAAAAAACATACTCTCGGATCTATATCCATATATTTGCTTACATACTGTCTACTGGAAATACAAACCCAAATTTACTTTATAACATGGAAGAATTGTATATGGTCTATGTTAATTATGTTTTATGAATATGTCCTGAAGATGGTCTATTAGACCGAAGCGTCCGACGTTGACATTAAACATTAAAACAGCATAATCGCATATTAGGATTTTTGTTTGTTTTTTCAGTATATTTTTCTTCATACTGTCGGATCTATATCCATATATTTGCTTACATATTCAGATATATAAACACGCAAAAATACAGGAAATAAAGACATCAACATCAAACAAAAAAATATCAGATGTATATATATATACAAATAAAAGTATATACATTCAATCACACATAGTAATAAAGATATAGACAGGCTTACCACAAATCAAACCTAAAAGTATTAATAAGCAAGTATAAATCAACAATCAACATTTGCATACATGGGCAAAGATATATAGATAAAAAGAGGGTTTAATTAATGAAAGTTAAGAAGAGTATAATTAAAAAAACAAATATTTTTCTATCAATAAAGCAAAGAAAAAAGACAGTTAAACATATATATATATACAAATGAACAAACACAACATATACACATACTCGTATAAAAAATAAAACAGCCAAATCCGCCTGCTGAAACAAAATATAACACGGAAAATAAGAACGCGCGTATATATCGAAATGAAAACACAATTACACACATATATACATTGTAATGAAAAAAGTAAGCAGGTGTAGGCTTTAAGAAAGTTTTATTCAACTGAGAATACAATGTTCGCGTATAGTGTCCTTTTAGAGTCCCAGTAAACAGAAATAGCTCTCTCAAAGAGTAACGAAACAAGGGGAGACAAGTCTTGATTATTCATAACACTGTCATCCATTTTTTTGAGATCTCATACATGTTGTTTATATTATAGTATTTTTGTCTTCAGAGAGCAAGGTCTGAACACTCGGTTAGTATATGTTTAATAGCGCCAGCGTCTTTGGATTGCGTGTCCTGTGTGATCATCTTTAGTTTGGGCCTTGCTTATGTTTTCTTTAATTTTCAAGAAAGGAGGGCTGACCTGCTATTAATATCAGTCCTTCAATATAGCAGTGAATGTTCGACAATTTCTTCACAGATGAACAGAAAGCTTTTTTACGGATTAATTTGTTTTCTACGGCTTATCAACCACTTTTAGGTTATTTAAAAATATTTTGGGATTGTAAGAATTATGAGGGGAATAATGATGATTTTTTGACACGTCTTACTATTTAACCCATAGCTAGGTGAAGAAGAGACGTATTCGTACCTTTTCCCAAAGGTATTTGCACATAACGACCGGAATTCCAACTCGACTCTCTCATTTAACATTTATACCATTTGGACACCCAAGCTTACAGCAGCTGGTATTAGCGGTCACCCATCTAGGTACTGACTAGGCTCAACGTTGCTTAACTTCTGTGGTCGGACGAGAACCGTATGCCGAACAGAAGGCAACGGTATATAAAGCAATATAGAGTCTTTTTTTTTTCCTATGGCACAGCATCTCGCAACAACACATCTTTTACTTTCTCACAATATTCTGTTTTCTTTCCTTTTCTCTCGCATTTGCGGCCATATCACGTTGAAACACCGGTTCTCGTACGATTACTGAAGTTAAACAACATCGAGCATGTTCACTACCTTCATGAGTGACCGCTTGGGAATACCAGGTGTAGTAATTTGGGACATGAGATAATGTATAACGGCTCGAACGAGAGCTCCAACATACATTAAGGATCTGTAAACCATACGCGAAGAAGAATGGAACAAAATACCAACTAAAATTTGAGCGTCTTTAATTGAGGACTACAAGAAGTGTTTGTTTTCTATAGAAGTGAATAATGCCTATTCTACAAAGTATTAAATAAAGATTATGTATTGTACGAATACTTTTTCACACATTAAAATGGATAATTGGGATTTATTTCTATTAAATCATTTTTTCTGTTTTCTGTGCATATTTACTTATTATGCATCGATGTACAGTTAATCAAATGAAAAGTATGTTTATTCATTAGTTGGAAATAAAATAAATTAAAACTGTGTATGTGTACGAATATTTGTTTCCCAACACTGTACAATTACGCGTAAATACCCTCAGGAAAGGAATGAATCCAACTCTTCTCCCCCAGCTATGGGTTAATTAGAAGGACGTGTATCAGTAAATCATTATCATCACCAAAAATGCATAAATCTAAAAACGATAAAGTAACAGGATTCAGGATAACGGAAGGTGGCGATGACGTTGCATTTAAATTTTTGAAGGTTATAGAGAAGCAAAAAATCGGAAAGGAGTTTCACAGTCGGGAAGTGCAAGAAAAGAAACTGTTAAAATACAACTGGCGGTTGCATCCAGCTATTCAACAGACCTAGTTGCCAATCTATGTAATTCATGCAATCGATTAACTAAAGAGAAAACTCAAAATAATTGCAATGAAAATATTTGTAGAAAAGACAGACGAAGCCATGTCGTTTAGAAAGTGACCGAAGTCAATACATATAAATGAAACTATGTCGTGTCATTTATATATTATAAATAGAAAAACCTTGAAAAAAAAGAAACAGTTCAATTTTTTAGTAAAAAAATGTTCAAACTCATCCCAAACTTAAATATTTTTCTTTCGCAAAATGAAAATATCAGCTATATGTAAACGACCAACGTAAATCTCTATACGTACACAACTTTTTATTTATTATTTTTCTTTCTCCTTTTTTCCAGTAACTTGTCAGAAAAAACGTTTTTTATTTCTCTTTTTTTGTCAGCAACTTAGCAAAGATACCAATTCTTTTGCCTGAGTTCAGAAAACTTGCCCCAAATGCTCACCAACAGGGCATTAATAAATTCTGAAAATGAAGGTTTTGAAAGAAACACGGCATTTTATTGAAAGAAACATATCGTCTGCCAGTCATATTTAGCAAGCTTGGCATGCAAATAATTACTAATTCAATTCTCAATGAACCCAGATGAAGACCGCTTTACTAAGTGTCATATTCTCCCTTCTTAAATCTTGTCCTTTTATGGTCCTCTCTGTATCTTCTCCACTCAGCCACCTAACGTCTTAGTGGCTTTATCGCCTTGTTTGGTGTGAAAGGTTTTTTTACAATACGGTATTTAAATATGAAAGTTGATATTTGGCCATATTATTATTTATTTTTTGCATAAATAATAAATTATATACCAACATTTTTATTTAATTGTCATATACCGTACCTATAAACATTAATGGGCATGTTACAATCCTCATAAATACATTGGACACTATCTGTCTATATTTCTGAGATGAGGTATATTATACACTATTTACATTATTCGAACTATTGTCCTCATCTTTCTCGACATATTTATTACAGCGTTTCCACCTTTGTACGCTCAAGGCCTTCTTCAGGTGGTTGGAATGTCGAACTGAAACCTTTATTTCGCTCACTGGGGTAGACTGTTCTAGTACCTCATGTTATGCCTAATCGATGTCAGTTATCTCCTGTTAATTCCCCTCTCCAATTTCTCCACTGCCTTAACCGGGTATTGAACTCACACTTTTTGGGTCCTGTCCCTGGATTTAACCAACGTCATTATCCACTGTGCCATGTCTCCTTGAGGACAATAATAATAAATAAGGCGACAAAGATGAGGAAAATAGTCTGAGTAATGTAAATAGTGTACATTGGACTTTATTGTAAATTTGAGTAATATGCTGTCTGAGTCGTGCAACATTAGCAGTGGTTTACCTACCTCACGCCGCTGGCGAGTATTTTATTTTGTTGATGTTATAAAGATTACCATTTCATTTCCAACCTCCGTTTTGGTTATTCCTCATTCAGAAACCCTTCTTTGATTACAACATTAATATATCGTGTTTGAAATATTTACCTATTTCGTATCAGCACCAGAGGCTAGTATTCAAGCTCTAAATAAATTCCAGGAAAAATGATTTTCTAAGAAGTCCCGACATCTTATTCGTCAGATTGTCATAACCACCGCCTTGTGGTACCGTCATTACAAAGATGCTTTCTCGTTTACTACAATTTTAACCTGTTCAAGTCTAGATTTAACCCCATAAACTGTGCCTCTTACTCTACCTTCTACCTTGCGTGGATCTTGTGTCTTGTACAGAGTTAACATTATTGTAAAAAAAACATCGACTTTTTAAACTTACTTTCTCTAATCTGGCTATGTGTTGTAGAAATTGGTAAATAAGATTACGTAAAATATCTACCGTATTACGATACTTGACAATCATGTTTGACAAGGCAATAAAGTGTTAGATGCTCTCTGTTGTTGTCATTTGTGTGTTTTAGACCGGATCATGCTAGAATGTAATTTACAATCAATATCACACTACACCATCAAGGGCGATGAAGTGTTTACCTCAAGTTACATCTGACCGTGATCTCATAACTATGCTCGATTTTGCAAGCGAGCGTATTTTTCATTGCGGCCACGTCGTTAGTGATTGTGAGACAAGGTCGAGTTTTAATGTAGGTTTACCCGCAATACTGTGAAAAAATGACACAAGCTTCCTCGGTTTTTTCCCCTTTTTGGTAACGCCTCGGGCAGCGTGTAATGACCACGAAAAATAAGTATTGCCTTGGGAGATGGCCCTCTGAAGCTTGAGCTAATAGTATTTTCAATTTGCCCAAACTAAGTGACCAAAAGGTTTTTTTGAAGAGAGGGGGAACGGTCCGTATCACACACACACACACACACACACATATATATATATATATATATATATATATATATATATATATATATATATATATATTACAATTATTTTTTAAATATATTACCATCATAATACCAAAAAGTCTCAATTTAAATAATATGCTAATATATTTAAAAAAATTATAATATTATGCTCTACTCTTGTATCGAGCCATATTTTTAAAAATAAATGCAAAGAACTCTGAATTATAAATCTCATTGTTCTTTTCCTATTTTTTATATATATATATATATATATATATATATATATATATATATATATATATATATATATATATATATATATATACACACACAGAGAGAGATGGATAGATAGATAGATTTTTATAATTTATTTATTACTATTCCATGATATTTTTTCTAATTTTTTTTTTCATGTTGGCTAGACGTCCGGTTGCCTCTAGCTAGGATATATATATATATATATATGTGTGTGTGTGTGTGTGTGTGTGTGTGTGTGTGTGTGTGTGTGTGTGTGTGTGTGTGTGAATCTGACCAATTTACTAATGTAAAAGCACCATTGTGGCCAAAGCATTCTACAGTCTTCTTCAGGTATATAATCTGGACGCGAAAGCGGAAGACCCATATTTATTTGCTATCACATGCAGATGCAATACAGGGCATGTCCATTGCTCAATATGCAAATCAATAAACATTTGCATATGGATTATATGCAAAAACTATCCATTTCCAGCAGCATATTGACACAGGAGTTTAAATGTACCTACTGACCTTACGACATTTTTTCCCTATATTTATTATACCAAAAATCATAGCAAATATAAATATTAGCTAACATGCCAAACTGTTTAGCTCATATCAATGCAAGCCAAGGCAAACGATAGCATTCCTAGATCTCTATAATTCTAATTTATACACAGGACGATCTCCAATCCCCTTTCTGCTGATAAATGAAAATAAAACATTTTCTAAAATCCATACTGATATGTTTTTTTTTAAATCTTCGAAGCAGCAAGTAAACATGTGGTGTTATTTCAATTTTCTCACTCACCATCGGTGTTTCCTATCAGTTGCCTTGACCTCATCACAGATCGGATAACGCATGTTCTTATCGTTCTACATATTTTCTTTCAGATAAGAATTTACTGCCTGTAGAAGGCTGTAGAATAGAATAGCTGAAGCGTTGTGGTAATGCAATCATTAACACAAACAATGAGTTGAGTTGCCTGAACTTGTCTTGAAATGTTAATCACCTTACTGTCGTGATTTTTTGTCAATTCCCTTTTTTTCTATTCTCTTGTACGTTGGCTTAATGATTACATTTTTATATGCAATCAGTATAAATAGTGAGTCGGTTAACAACTCCAAAAGAGAAATCAGCAATCCGAGTTCGAATTCCAACCGAATTGATTACGTTCATTTTTGCACAAATACCTTTGAAACAATATTGATTCATCACCGAAACCTCAGTTATGGGTTAAACCGAAGGTTGGCTGGGCTCTCTTTGTCTTTAGGGGACAACCAGTCTAGGAGAATAAAAACTCTGAATTCAAAATCAACTTGAAGAGAGATAGGCTTTGTCTTGCCCATGGCACACCACTACAGCTAGGGTTGCCATACAGCCGACATCAACAACGGAACTCAAGACGTGACAGCGTGACGCATATTTATTGATAAATTATTGATATTAAGTTTTATAAGTTGGCGTTAGGCTAAATTGTTTCGGTGTACCTACCTTGAACAGTAGAACAAAACCAACCGGATTATCACACTGACGTAAGGTAGATTGTGTTTACAAAGCATAGATTAGATGTCGTACATGAACGAAAATATGGAGCAGTCAGTGATGATCATACTCACTACTCGGAATTTTGCTTGACTATATATATATATATATATATATATATATATATATATATAGAGAGAGAGAGAGAGAGAGAATACAGGTCAATGATGCATTGTGGGTAGTCAATTATATTATTCTAACGGTTATT